GTAAAAGTTTTGCGTTATTGTGCCCCTCATGAAAATATGTGACTTTTAAAGTAATGTTTCTTACCAAATCAACAAAAAATCCAGAATTAACAAAAATGGATCTTGTATTGATTTAATGTGTCATTCTCGGTCACTAAAAAGCACGTGTTTATTATTAGGGTGTGTTCTCATTGATGTGCTGATAGATGCCCTACAGGAGGCGTGTGTCATGCTGTATATGGATTGACCACTCCCAATTCATCCAGTAGTTCTCAGAGATTAATCTGCTGTTTGGATGAGATTAGCCTAGTCTAAATCTCATGTAAATTCACCTCATGACACGCGGACATTTTAAATCCTCAAACGCCTGCTACATCTACATTCAGACATTACGCTTTTTTGTTTTCTCCAAATCTTTTATCAGAAAGCATGAATGAGGTGATATGAATGTAGCAACTTTGTTGTTACCCTGAGGTTAAATACAGAATATAAATTATTTGCTTTACAAGCACAGAATTCATAGACGGCAATATGAACTTCACATAAAACAATAAAAGGATTTTCTTGGCCAAACTTCATTATAATGGCCATTTTAATAGCTTTTTCTGGCACGATGCACTGGGAAACTGCCATCAGAAAAACAATTTTAGATTTTTCACATATGAAAGAAAAAAAAGGAATAATGTTTAAAAAATTGTACCATAAATATTAAATGCAATAAAATTGCTTAACGTCAATAATCATTGTCCTGATAGTGGCAAAATGTATATATATATATATATATATATATACTTTCTAAATATATATACTTTCTTACCTTCGAGGCACATTAATTGCCCCTCCCCAAAAGATATTTTATTTCATTCTTTTTAATTTATATTGTTTTCTTAAGTACATTCAATGGAAAATAGTTAATCTTTTTAAACATCGATTTCATGAAGCCTTCAGAGGGATATAGAGGAACTGAGGTAGATTAAGTGGTAGTGTAGCATAGATTACATTACACAACTACAGCGGTACAGCGTGCGGTCATGTGACGCTTGACTCACCTCCATAAAGGGAAGAGTCCTTCAGCAGAGCCTTCAGTGGGCAACAAGTCATTCATACTTTATAAATGAAGGCCGTCTTTAAATAATACACCAAAAGCTATACAAAGAACGTGCTTAAAAGGAGTTATTTGTAGAATACAAATTAGTACATGATCATATAAGGCAGTTATATTTAAGTTTTGGGTTTAAACTTCACATATTGACGCTTTTTGTTGAACAGGTTTGCTCTATGAGCCTTCCTATTCACTCCCCCTATGAGGCAGCAGCTGTTTTGTTCATGTGTTGATCTGAACCCCACTCCCTTCCCCCCCTTCGTCCATTTCCTTGAAGTGTCCCATTTTAGACCTATTCTCAGCACATTTTAAACCACTTTGTCATTTACTTAATTTAATAACAGGCAAACTGGGACTATGCTTTGATTTGAAACACCTACAGATGACCCAGTAACAAGTCTGACAAAGCTCCTGCCCTAAAATAAAAAAAAATGATTTTTTTATAATTAGTAACACATAAATGCATTAATAATCCAGTGCTGAATATTTTTTTAAAAAGCATTGTGTTTTAGTAAACTGAAGAAGCCATTTCTGAGGTTCGTCGATAAGCACATTAACCAATTTCCACACCTGCCATTTGAAGCCATTTTAATATTTACAGATATAAATCCTGGAAATTTAAAACACCACGAGCACCTAGAACTACCCACCACCCCCACAAGAACTGCTTTCCTGGATTACAGCAATACCTTGAGATCATTTCCATAAAGATATCCCTTTAAACACTTGAGACAAAGTCATTCAAAGCTTTACATTTTCTCGAGAACCAAGCATTTTGCCTTCTCATTTTTAAAGCATTTCATTTTAGTTTTCAGTTTCAAAAACAACTTTGACGCCTGGTTGTGTGGTACTGCAACAATAAATGTGCAGACTAGAGACAGATCGATACCTGAACAAATGGAAAGGGAGGGGGACAATCTCAGTAATCCGAGTTTGTGCATTCTCGTAAAATTACAGAGACTGGGACAGCATTTCTGAGAAGTCATTTTAATTTATTCTGACATGCTAAAAGGGAATAAATTACACTTTTATAGAATGTCCAGCTGTTAAGTACTTAAAGCTGGTTCTGAGGGACAGTTTGGAGGCAAGGAAATCAACAAAAAAAAAAGAAAGCCAAGTTACTGGTGTGCATTTGTCGTGGCTAAAGGCTGAGGAAAACGAAGGAGAAAAAAAATCTAATTGCTCTTGCCTCACAAGACCCAAAACTATATAGAAAAGAACCCCTCCAACATGTTTCTTTGCAATAAAAAAAGAAAAGGAAATGAGCAAAAGACTGCTACCAAACAGCAGCGAAAAATTGTTGCAGAGAGAAAGTCCCAGAGATAATTTACAAGAGGATCTGCTTCACCACAGGAAGAAGCAACAAAAAACCCTTGCCCCAAAATTATCGATTCAATACAGGGAAAGACAACTCTATAAAACTGAAAAAGTATTTTTCGTTTTTTCTGAAAAAAAAAAAAAAAAAAGATATATGCATATAAAAATGGTAACGGGAAGGGTGGAGTGAGCACATTTTTCTCTCAAAAACAGAACATTGAGCCTATCATAGCAATTAATCGTACGAATTGTTACTCTCAATCAACATGAACATTTTCCAAAGAGAAAAAACCCAGATCATATGCATACAATTTTCATCTAAGCAATTAACATACAGGTTTAGTTCAGAGTGATGACTAATTTTTAATGAATATACTTCTGTGGAGTTTATTCGTTTATTTTTTAGACTTCGGAATACCAAGTACATTATAGTTAATGCAGCGTTCTAAAGAGAAACCTAGTAGTCACTAGAATGCTTTTTTTGTTTTGTTTTTTATCTTCACATTAGAAGCTCTCTAGCACATCAGCAGGCAGAATTGTAATTACCTTTTTAGAAAAGAAAAACAAAACCCAATGTTTGCCTTTTTAATTATTTGGATACATTTGAGAGAGAAAAAAAAAAAAAACAGATTTAATCTCAGATGTTTCAATTTGCTCGAGGAAAGGATGAAAAAAATACTGAAGGATGAATGTGTCTCAGATGTCTCCATTCTGACAGAAGAGTGTCTGGGTTCGTGCCACGCTTTGTGACGAGAGGACGATGAGAAGGGAAAGGGGGGCCAAAGCTGCTCTGATGGGCAACCGAGAATTCAGGAAGGACCCCAAACAGCTTTCCTGAAGGAGAAAACTCGGGAAAATATTGGCATGTGCACAATTATATCCCCATTTTCTACAGTTTGCCGTTTCAAAGGAGGAGGGGCGAAAAGTCTTAAGGGACAGGACAATAGAAAAGGCTACAGCTTCCAACTCCAAACCAAGCCTGCTCTCTGTGTGGATATAGTATATACATACCAATATATAGATATATGCAGAGCATCTTATCTATATATACCGATTACATATATAGTATATGGAACAAAAGTTCTTTAACAGGAAAAAGGTTGCCCACAGTGCCTGGCAGGTTCTGGTGAATTTGATCCTAGATGCCGGGGTGTGATTGGAAGGCAAATCCTGCTACGACCACTCTGCTCCGCTTCATTACATTGTCTTAATGCTTAGAAACCTGCAAGACAGGGAGACAGATAGATAGAGAGGAGAGGGTTAAGAGTTAGTGGCACAGATCTGAATGGGGTTGAGCTACTGTAATCAATGCGGCCAACCCCGTCAAAGCATTATTCAGTCCTGGAAGAGAGAAAGTGCAAAGTCATCAAGTCCCTCTCTGCGGTAAAGTCGAGACTTTATAAAAATGGTAACGGGAAGGGTGGAGTGAGCACATTTTTCTCTCAAAAACAGAACATTGAGCCTATCATAGCAATTAATCGTACGAATTGTTACTCTCAATCAACATGAACATTTTCCAAAGAGAAAAAACCCAGATCATATGCATACAATTTTCATCTAAGCAATTAACATACAGGTTTAGTTCAGAGTGATGACTAATTTTTAATGAATATACTTCTGTGGAGTTTATTCGTTTATTTTTTAGACTTCGGAATACCAAGTACATTATAGTTAATGCAGCGTTCTAAAGAGAAACCTAGTAGTCACTAGAATGCTTTTTTTGTTTTGTTTTTTATCTTCACATTAGAAGCTCTCTAGCACATCAGCAGGCAGAATTGTAATTACCTTTTTAGAAAAGAAAAACAAAACCCAATGTTTGCCTTTTTAATTATTTGGATACATTTGAGAGAGAAAAAAAAAAAAAACAGATTTAATCTCAGATGTTTCAATTTGCTCGAGGAAAGGATGAAAAAAATACTGAAGGATGAATGTGTCTCAGATGTCTCCATTCTGACAGAAGAGTGTCTGGGTTCGTGCCACGCTTTGTGACGAGAGGACGATGAGAAGGGAAAGGGGGGCCAAAGCTGCTCTGATGGGCAACCGAGAATTCAGGAAGGACCCCAAACAGCTTTCCTGAAGGAGAAAACTCGGGAAAATATTGGCATGTGCACAATTATATCCCCATTTTCTACAGTTTGCCGTTTCAAAGGAGGAGGGGCGAAAAGTCTTAAGGGACAGGACAATAGAAAAGGCTACAGCTTCCAACTCCAAACCAAGCCTGCTCTCTGTGTAGATATAGTATATACATACCAATATATAGATATATGCAGAGCATCTTATCTATATATACCGATTACATATATAGTATATGGAACAAAAGTTCTTTAACAGGAAAAAGGTTGCCCACAGTGCCTGGCAGGTTCTGGTGAATTTGATCCTAGATGCCGGGGTGTGATTGGAAGGCAAATCCTGCTACGACCACTCTGCTCTGCTTCATTACATTGTCTTAATGCTTAGAAACCTGCAAGACAGGGAGACAGATAGATAGAGAGGAGAGGGTTAAGAGTTAGTGGCACAGATCTGAATGGGGTTGAGCTACTGTAATCAATGCGGCCAACCCCGTCAAAGCATTATTCAGTCCTGGAAGAGAGAAAGTGCAAAGTCATCAGTCCCTCTCTGCAGTAAAGTCGAGACTTGCTGCAGAGAATCTCAGAAAAACATTCATGTCATCAAACTCACGGGGGCTCAGAGGGGATCAACTCTTTCACACAACAGTCCAAGTTTACTGTTTAGCCCACGTAAAGTCTGAGTGACTGCATAAGTGCTGAAGGGGTACTGGGGCAGCTAAGACTTCACTAACCACGACTGAGGCATGTTACTCATTCATACACTTCTATAGCCGACTGACACCTTAACCAACTCAGCTGCTGCACGATCAGCCTCTCCACGGTTAAATAAAACCAGCTCAGAGCAAAGCAGCTGTCCCTTCAAGAATCCTTTCATGTCAAGAACTAAATGAGGGGCATGACATTATTCACTAAAACATATACTAGATGATGCTACCAACCTTAAAAAGCAGCACAATAGCCATCTAGAAAGTACTAGTTAAAGGGATAGTCCACCCAAAAAATTCAATTCATGCACTTCCAAACCTCTGTGACTCACTCTGAAGAATATTGGGAAACACTGGAAGCCAGTTAAATTTCAATGCAAGGACAAAAAAATGACTGTATATATATTTTTTTAAATATACGTAAAAAGTGCTGGGTAGATAAGATATTTTGAGAAATATATCAGTGTTCCACAGAAGAAAGTCACACAGGTAAGTAAATGACCATTTTAATTTTAGGGTGGACCATCCCTTTAAGTTAATGTGAATTAAACTGACTGAGACAAATGAGACGAGTACAGATTCGATTTGGAAATGTAATTGCTAACCTCACAAGGAGCTTCAAATCATGTACAATCACAATCCTGAACATTAAAAAAAAACCTGACAGACCTGTGACGTATTTTGAAATGTTTTCAGTGCAGCACTCTCAACTGTGGTCTGCTTCTAAAAATCAATGTGCTTTTGCCTCAGGCAAACGGAGCACAAAATCAAACAGGATAATATGGACAGGGAATAAAATCTAAAGAGTTGTTTTAAGACTGCAGTTTCAACATTACTCTTTTGAAAAATGTATAAATTGATCATACCTGGAAAACTATATATTTACTTGTTTCCTCATAAAAATCCTATTCAGGCTTTTCGAAGCTACAGAAAGATGACAAAGTATTTTTGCCAAGTTGCCGCCCATTCATGTCACTGCTTGTGTCATTTAGAAGTAATCCACAATGGACAGATGATTCAAACCAGTTGCCAAGTAACCTGATTGTTAGGTTCAAGCTGCTACTACTTGCAGAGTAGTTACATTTAGCTACTGCAGCCTTGACATTTCTATAGACACTAATGGAAAAGACGAGGGGAGAAGAAGAAAATAAAATGCTTGACAAGTCTCCATTGATTGAGCGTGAGGAAGTATGCTGACGCAGCACTCTCAGGACAAATCTCACAATAATACGGCAGCACAAGCTCCAGGCCTCTGTTGTTGCAGAACTAACAAAGTTGCGCCTGTAACCAAGAAACCAACAATCCCCTGCAAATAAAGTTCGTTCAAGCTCAAACACTCTTGAGCGTTACCACTTAAATTCTTGGCTGCGGCTATTCAGCCAAAGGGATCTTAAAGGGACAGTACTCTATTTCTCAAGCCTGTAAGAAGCATAAATCTTTGAATGGATGGAATTATCGCAATCCAAGTGTTACAATCATATTTCTAAGCAAGGTACATGGGTGCATCCTGGCTTTTGAAGGGGGATGGGGTGCAATCAAACTAAAACGGCGTGCACAAAGGATTAGACCAATACCACCTCGTCAGCAAATGCTATTCTTAGTCCAGCCACTTTTAACAGCAGTTCCTCTCTGCCTTAATTCAGGATGAACCTTCAGTGTAAAACGGTCTTCCTGATTTTTACCAAGCATTTATCAACAAAGAACATAACTTGAACCTTGGGAATGAAAATAAGAAAAAATAAAAGACTCTAAAAGCCATGTATAACGTCACAGAGGAAATAGATCACAAAGCTCAGCTGGGAAAAAAGCTGTCTGCGTGGGTTGATGGCACACAGTCACTATATTAAAACCCCCAGTCCTGTGGCCATTTAGGCCTACAGGCGAAAAAAAAAAGACATCCCATTTACTTTATTATATAGATGATACGATATATAGCACGATACAACTTTAAATATCAAACTGCCAGAAAATTCTAATCTACTCTGAAACATTCCCACAACCTACAAACAAGGCTACTTGATAAATCCTGTAGACATCACAAAGTAGTTTAATCAGACTGCAGATGTTAAATTTAGGACAAATTTAGGCCTATTAAGCACCAAAGGTAACTCTGATAGAACTGAGATGTATACCATTGATAGTGATAAACACCCAAACCGAATACTGCTGTAGTCCAGGGCACTAAAGGACAGAGCAGTGGAAGAGGAGTGACAGCAGCTTTTCCACTTAACTGTGCCCTTCCAAGTGTCAAGCCTACTCTGCATTAGATGCACAACAGATTTAGACTACATTAAAGCCTACACCATCTGACCAGGACTACTTATCGCTAATGTAGTGCGAAACAGACTCTATATGCTCATTAACATCCATTTTAATAGTCAACAGGAAACATAATATAATGGACGAAAAATAAAAGCGCTCCATGTTCAACTCAGTCCATATACCTAGATGGGCTACGCCTTTTGCTGGAAAGAAGATCCACAACTAGAATCACAAAAAAAATTATCACTGTTGAGTCATCACATGAACATAGAACAACATTACAGTTCCCTCAACACCAAACATATAGAAAAGTACAGTAAGAGTCAATGAAGAGATGTGTAAATGACATGATCTTGGTTAGTCTGTGGTTAGAAATCACTCCCACGTATCCATGTTTGTACTGAAGAGACCAATATAATCAAGACTAACAAGTGTTAGATCCAGGAACAATGATTGGGAGAAATCTGTCAAATAGAGCATCCCATTTAGAAAGGGGTTAATTTGAGGGATGGTTATCTGACATTCACAGAAAAGATTATGAAGCCAACCCTTCGTCCCAGAGAAGAATATACATTTTTTGGTACAAAGTTAGTAGTCAAATTTCCCAAGGACGTCTTTGCTTTTGAAAGACATACCAATTGAAATTTTTTTTTATTTATTTTTTTTTTGGAGTGGGTTGCATCCTTGAACTAACACCGTTTCTTTGCATTTCATGAATCTTTTGGGGAGCAAATGTTGCAAATCCACTTTTGTTTTTACAAATGTGAGCAATTGGTGTCTTTGTTTTGTGCTGAAAACGTCGCTTGGCTTTTTGCTACTAACCTTTCATGTTACTCTTGGGTTTGTCAGTTTGCTTGCCTGTGGGGGTTTGTGCCTGTTGCCCCTGTCCCCCTGAGGAGGCTGCTTGCTGTGCTGCTTTCTGCTTCAGCATGGTCCAGTCAAATGTGTAGTCATACTGGTGGTTCAGAGTCCTGGAAGTGATCAAGCGGGAGTGAGTATACCCATACAAACCAAATGAATTTAGATACCACAAGTAAAGAAATAATCAAGAGGAGTCCACAACTGGCAAGACTTTCTACTTGAAAAATTGACCTCAGTTGTGACTAGTTCTGGGCCAGTTGGGAGTGTTGAGGCAATGCAAGAAAAGGTCAGGCACCTGAAAAGAATGCGGAAAAGCTGACGCAGGTACATGTAGTCAGGTGCCTCTTCAAACCGCAACCCACGACAGTAGTTCAGGTACATGGCAAACTCTGCTGGGAACCCCTGGAGAAAGAGTCAAATGCATATTACGAAAGAAAATTACCAAGCTCCATAAATGTCATGTCAACCTGACCGGCTATTTCTTAAAAGGAAATGAACAAAGAAAAAAAAAATTCATATCCTATTATAATGAATAGCCAGCACTATTAGCAGGAAAAAGGCTGTCTGAAATTAGTCAAGTAGGCTAGAACAGAAAAGCGTGGTGAGTGACAGACATAGAATGGGAGTTTCTTATAAGCAACTGGATGTTTGTACATAGTTTGCTGACAAACGAAATGTAAACAAATATTTATATTTATATTTAAATATTATATTTATATAAATATTTCTTAAAACACACACACACAAAAGCTATGCAAAAATGGTCAAGCGTCATATTTAGAGATGCACCGATCGACCGGCCAGGGACCGGAATTAGCCGGTTTTCCGCATGACCGGCCTGAACCAGTGAGTCCAGTGAGAAAGTCAGTCTGCCAATTCGAGCTGGTCTGTTTTGACGTCACACTTATGGCGACTGATAATGTATTTGTCATGCCAGATGAGTCTCGCACAGCCCGAGTGAGTGTGTGAGAGAGACTCGTGCAGAAATCAAAACAAATGAGCATAACAGCACACACAGAAAATTATAGATGCATACCGCGATAGTAAAAAAAAAGAAATAAATGATTTTAGGTACGCAACATTGCACTACCGAAATGTTTCAACACTATTGCAGTGTGATTTTATACAATAGTAGTTCAATTAACAAGAAGTTAAAATTAAGTGACTTACATTTTAGACACAATATTGACTGTTTATGCTGAATTTCGCTGACGAAAATAGTTCCAATTAGAGGTCTGCACAGGGCTATTTTTTTAGTCCAGCTCCCGCAAGGTTATATTCCGCACCCACCCGCTCCCGCTATATATTCACTCTAGAAAAAAAAGTTGCACAAAAATAATATTTTTATTCGTCCTGTCAGGATACAATTCATTTACCATTTACAACACAATATTAAAAAGTGAAAAAAAAAAGAAAAAAAAAAAAAAAAATGTAGGTTGTACAAAAATAGCGCTATTAGCTATTTTTATTCGTCTTGTCAAAATACTAAATTCGTTTGACATTTTTCTGTTAACAGTAGGAAATGTGTCGCAGAGAAAAATAAATAAATACGACATCTGTCATTTAAAATGATAGGCCAAGCAAAATATAAACAAAACAGTTGAATGTCCTTCAAGGACAGCGCATCCACACTTTGCTCCATCCTTATTCTGCTCTGTCACTCATCGACAACCTGCCTGTTCTGTCTGAGGGCCGTATATTTACCACTGGCACAGCCTGCTCTGAGCATCATTATGCACATGCTGTGTACAGACCTCGCAAATAAAACACGTGACACAGAAAGCATGCGTGCATAACAGTCCAAGTGCAGGCTGTACCGGTGGTCAGTAAGAATAAAGCGCAGATATGCTGTTCTGAATAGACGTCGGGAACGGGATATTGTTAGACCGCCCGCTCCCTTTCAAATTCCACCAGAGTTACCGACCGCTACCGCGGCGCAAAAAATCTGGATCGGGTCCCGCGGGAGAGCCGCGGGAATGCAGACCTCTAGTTCCAATCAAAGCCACAGCAGAACTGTTTTGTGTCTCCGAGCAACACAGCGGTGTTTCGTTACTAAAGGAATCCACGTTTTTTAACAAATCAAGCGAGTCAATGTTTCAGTAACCCATTCATAAAGACAGTAGTCACTTGCCTTGTTTCTGAATGAATCAGCCGTTTGAACGAATCTGTTGAATAAAGGACTAAATGACTCATTCATTCAAACAGTCATTTGCCGCCACCTACTGGTTTGGTTTCATTTAAAACTGTCATTACATTTTTCCCAACATT